CCTCGCACTCCCTAAGGCGAGGCCGTCAACGCGACCTCATCTATGCGGTCTTCACACAGGATGCCCGCAGCGGTCAAATTCTCGTTCCCCATCCCTCCCTCCGCCCCATCCGCCCTACTGTCCATCGTGTTGCACTAAACCAATCGGTGACCAATCGAAAAAACCAGTAGGCTAAATTAAGCTGCAGATAATGAAGGTCGCGGATGCATTCGGATCGTTGCAGTGGTTCCAGATATGGACGAGCGCTGCAGTGCTATGCCACTGTACGTCACTTCAACTCCTGTTTTTAAATGCACAATGTCACCGCAAAGGAGGCCGACAGCCAGATCAGCTGAGGGCATGTCAAGTGGGTTTTTTTTCTGTCAAACGTCAAGATACTCCGTTCCTCTACCACAAGGCACGTGCTAAGCAGTGGGTACTTCGTCAGCCTCTGCCTAACCCTCCGAGGTTATTGCGCACGCACGCACATACACACACAATATGGCTCAAATCCACGGCTAAATTCTATGAACCCCATATGGTCTTCTCTTAGAGCCGTAGAGAAATGTGTGGTTTTCCGTATGCGGAAAATACACGGTTTGTAGGTTGGAAAACTTGAGAGCAAGTGTAACGGCAGACCGGGTTGACAAGTATTCGCGAATTGGAAAATTTTTGAAAGCCGAATTATACCCTTTCGTTTAGTAAAAAAATTGGAAAAGGACATCATTTTCTACTGAATGAGCGAAAGAATGAATATTTTTATGCTTTTTTCCGTGAAGAGAATTGAATTTCTTAGGGCATCGAAAATCAATGAGACAAATGCATGCCCCTTAAGTAGTCATTTTTCACAGAGTGCAATGTTTGCATGCAGCTGAAAAGAAGTTCGTTCGAAAGCCGACATCCTGGGGTAAGTGAATAATTATAGAATTACGCTGAACGATGACATTTCATGAGTTAGCCCACCTACTGTGCGTTCTGCTATACTTGTAAGCCTGTGTGAAGGTCGAAATGACTTGCTTGTTATTAGGACGCACCAGCCACTGTTACAGCAGCCGGGTGATTTTCAGCCTTGGCTGTCTCATTGAGTTTGTTCTGAACTGTTCCAACAGTACAAAAATAACGCATTACTTTGGTGAACAATGATCGTTAGTGGGAAGTAACTTCACTTTGACGCAAGTACTCCATAACCGCGAGGGGCGCTAAACGACGGTGATAACGGCCGGGACAGCCGGGGGGAGGATAAACTACACCTACATTGAAGAACCTGGTAGAACTTGACAGAATACATCTATGCATGTGTCAGAAGTACGCAGTCTAGGCCAGCTGACAGGGTTTTGTTCCTTATTAGTACAAGCCCTGCTCTCTCTCTCTCTCATACCAGTAAAATATCCTCAGAGATTTTAGAAATTCGTATTGGACGCGTCACGGTTTGCTGGATCTTGCGTCACAACAATGCATGGATGATTTTCTGTGATGCAAATAACTTACGGTCCGCAGGGATTACATGAGGTCCACGCATAGCTGAGGAACTCAGGAGACCTTGAAATCTACTGTGTAAGACGGCAAATTGTCAAGTGGCAGCAATTCATCAGATTCAGCGATTTATTTATCTACCCAGCGTGCACTGAGTTAGGGTTTTGCCTTTGTTGGACTTCGAGGCGAAGCTCTTACCACTGTTCGGCCTCGTAGTCCAACTCATAACCTTGACGAAATTTGACGATTAATAGTGAACTTTCGGACTATTAGACACGCTCATTTTGGCTGTTGCAGCTAGCATGAGGGGTTATTTGCTGTTATAAAGGCCAGACTGGATAAGAAGGACCGGAGATGTGAATGACGAGTTAGCATGTGAAGTTTCTATCGTTTCGGATTCTTGCTCGAACCCATCGTCAGAGACAGTCTCAGATAAGAGACTATGAAGGCGTAAGGATTACAGTATTTATGAGACCACATACCTACCATAATAAGCAGAGTCCGCAATCATCGCTGACAGTTATGTTTACCACTCCAGCCATAACCAACGCTGATAAAATTACGACAGTTCGCAGGCAATCAACACACCAAATACGACCTCCAGCGATGAACGCAGATGCCGCAAATCATAGTAAGCATGAGGTCGATTGGCAACAGTGTCCTACAAATACTGCACTTCTTGCGTCCCCACTATCTCTCCTCTGAGACTGTCTCTGATGATGGGGAGAGTGAGAACCCGACAAGTCAGGCCACTGGACTTCTTGTTCCAGCAGCTACATTTCATCTTCCGAACTGCCTCACGAGACTAGCATTTTTGCCTCTATCGGCAATGAAAAACTTCCTGACAACGATAACTTGAGTGTTCTCACCCGAAAACGGAGCACAGGAAGAGTGGAGGAGGTGGGGGCAGTAATTAAGGGAATCTGCGGAGGGCAATGAGAAAACTCGCATTTTACAATATGTTTCTTTTACTAATCCGGCGATGTGCCGGAACAGACCGCGCAATTTTTTAGATGCGAAATAAGAGCGCATAAATGGGCGAAAACAGATAATCCGTGGTTATTTGTTAATGATGACCGGATTGGATGGGACGGTATGGCAAATTATGGAAGACAGAGAGCACATACCGTCTTTCTTCGGAGGATCTGTTAGCTATTTGAAATTACAGTTGTAGTAAATGACCAGCGTGCCTGCCTAACCATGTCGTGGAGCATACTTGAGGCGAAGTCGACAAGGACGGTCAAACCAGGCGGAATGGTCCGAGCAACGTCGCTCAACCGACAACCGCACTAGAGCTGGCAGCGTAGCACTCATGAGTATGCGGAACTTGGGAGCATTTGCACGGACGTTGGCAATTAGATATGGGGACCCACTGGGAACACTGAAGGCAAAAACTCCCGTAAAACCGAAATATTGGTAATGGGGGTTTTATGGAGGGGAAAGCAAAAGCGAGAAACTCACAGTCAGGCCATTGTCTTGTTAGAATGCACCAGAAAAGCGCAAAGATGTGAGCACACAATATTAAATATAGGAAATAAGAGGACCCTAAATGGGCGACAAAGTGATGAATGAGGGCATTGGTTAGGTATTCCTGGCGAACTGAGCCCATCTCGTAATGCCTAACCACAATAAATGAGAAAGTGTGAATGGGTCGTTAAGTTCGACTTTCGTGATGACCGTGATTGAAGATATATTGAACTTGACAGAGTTGATGACCCAATCTCCCATCCCTGAACCTGTGTCTAAAACCTGGCCCCAAATCCAGCCTAGTCCTAACCTTAATCCATAATGCCAACCTAACCCTAACCTCTAACCCTAACCCTTCACAGTTGAGTCAATTTGAATTGTTCAAAATCCGCAAAATAACTTGGAATTACGTGCGCCTGGTGGTCATCTGGTGGATATTAGGTGGATTACTTAGGAAATCCTGCTTGGGCTGTCAGTTTACTGTATCAGATTTAGTGGATTCCAGTCGTTGCAGTAGGTTGGGCGGGCAAATTGACTCAAATGTGATTAAACTCACGTTTTCTGGTGGGGCCTCGTAGCTCAGATGGTTAGAGCGTTGGCTGCGCTAAAGCCTTCCCCTTACTGTCGTAGGTCTGAATCCCACCGAGGCGCCAGGTTTTTCACAGTTGGGTTGATATGAATTGTTCATAATCTACCAAAACATCAATGAAAGACGTGAGAAGGGTGGTTTTACTTGCATATAAGACTACCAGTCGTAGAAATGATCTCTTCGATTAAGCTGCCATTGTCCAGTTGGTGACGATCGATTGTGAGTACTCCATCTAGCCTTTAATTCCATGAAATATCTACTTATGTCATTTGGGTAGGCTTGACTTAACCTTCCTGTCTTTCGTTCATTTCCCAACACACCTCCCTTAAGTGTTGCCACTAGTCCAGTCTAGGGTTAGGATGTGAAGGATAAGGGTTAGGTCAGGGTTAGGGTTAAGAGTTAGGGTTGGCATTAGGGGCTAAGGTTAGGACTAGGCTGGGCTTAGGGGTTGAGGGTTGGACTTGGGGCCAGGCCTTAGACACAGGTTCAGGGATGGGAGATTGAGTCATCAACTCTGTCAAGTTCAATATATCTTCAATCACGGTCATCACGAAAGTCGAACTTAACGACCCATTCACACTTTCTCATTCATTGTTGTTAGGCATTACGAGATGGGCTCAGTTCGCCAGGAATACCTAACCAATGCCCTCATTTATCACTTTGCCGCCCATTTAGGGTCGCCTTATTTCCTATATTTAAGATTGTGGGCTCGCGTCTTTACGCTTTTCTGGTGCATTCTAACAAGACAATGGCCTAACTGTGAGTTTCTCGCTTTTGCTTCCCCCTCTATAAAACCACCATAGGAAGGAAACGCGGAGAGGCAAAAAGTTCTGCGCTCCTTAGAAGTGTACATGAAATGAAACCACAATCACGGTTTCCGAAAGATCCAAGTCGGTACGTGCACAACCACTCTTATATGACACTTGATGAAACATCACTTGAAGCATTATCCCTTGGTCCTAAGTTTTGCATACCTCGTCGAAAAGTTAATCAGTTAGAATTGGAAACTCAGTTCGAGAACCTATGGAACCAAACCTATGATCTAGTGCCCACTTCCGCAGACAGTATCCAACACTTTAAATCAACATTGGTGAATTGCAGTTATCAGTACCTGAACAAAGGGCCAAAAAGCCGGGGACTGCTGACAAAAGCACATGTGGAAAAGTTAAAAGAACTTCGAGCGAACAAAGAGATCTTGGTAACTAGACCGGACAAAGGAACAGGCGTCGTTATAATGAACAGATCGGACTACGTAGCGAAGCTACAGTCTATATTATCAGACCAGAAGAAATTCAGGAAGGTAGACAAAGAAAAGGATTGCACGGAAGAAGTAGAGAGGAAAATGACTGACTGTTTAAGAAGGCTCCACACAGGGGGTCACATAACCGACCGTGACCTAGAACACCTCCGACCAGTTGGCACACATATCCCTCGACTATATGGTCTACCTAAGATCCATAAGGAAGGCCTGCCAGTCCGTCCAATCCTAGACATGCGAAACTCTCCGTATCATGCGATAGCAAAGTGGCTAGCAGAGAAACTCAAGCCCGTACAGCGTCAGCTAGCACCACGCAGCTACCGAGATACCTTTGAATTCATTGACGACATCAAAGACCTTAACGTCAATGACATGGTGATGTTCTCGCTAGACGTCTCATCACTTTTTACAAACGTTCCGGTCACCGAGACAGTTGATTACATCTGTGATTTTCTATCTGCCAGTCAGCAGGAAATAGGACTCCCGACGAAGGCACTCAAGGAACTGTTACTAAAATGCACATTAAATGTGCAGTTCCTGTTCGACAACCAACTCTACAGACAAGTAGACGGCGTTGCTATGGGCTCACCCCTTGGACCTCTCCTAGCATATGTCTTCATGGGCAAATTAGAGCGATTCCAACTAAGCGATCAGATCGATAAGCTTAAACATTACGGTCGCTACGTTGATGATATATTTGCAATTGCCACTGCAGAAACCGACGTGCTACCCTCTTAGATGCGGCAAATCAGGCACATCCGTCGATCAAATTCACGCTGGAGATCGAAACGGCCGGTTCGCTACCTTTCTTAGATGTTCTTCTAAGCAGGAGACCTGACGGCAGTGTCCGAAGAAGCGTCTATCGGAAGAAAACCTGGTCTGGACAATACACGAACTTTGCCAGTTTCGTACCCCTCCAACAAAAACGAAATCTAGTCCGATGTCTGGCACAAAGAGCAAGAAAAATTTGCTCAACAGATAGCATCGAGGAGGAGCTCAGAAAAATCCAGGACTTCCTTCGAGAAAACGGGTATCCTGACAGGTTCATTGCAAAGAACATTGTCGAAAGACCAATTAAACCCGCCACACCGACCGCTGAAAAGAAAACTTTGTTCCTCAAAGTCCCTTTCCAAGGGGACGCGACGAGTGAACTCCTTCGGAGACGCCTTGATCAAGCTGTCTCGCGAACCTCCCCAGCAGCAAGGGTTCAAATATCATTCTCTACTAACCCTATTTTACGCGGAGAAGGTAAGGATAAGTTGCCACCGCAGACCACCTCAATGTGCATATATTCCTTCACTTGCTCCTGTGGAGCAGGTTATATTGGTCGCACGAGTCGGCGCTTATCCAAAAGAATACGCGAACACCTCCCGGCATGGCTAGGAAATGGCGAAACGAGGAGTATAAGCAGCGCCATTCTCGCGCACGTTGTCGATTCCGGACATCGTGTGGACCCCAACGAAGCTTTTCGTGTGATTTATAAGGTCCCATCGAGCTACCCTAAGCTACTAGGCCAGCGCCTGTTAGCGACAGCGGAAGCGGCCGCCATTAGGTTACAAAAGCCAACCTTATGCGCTCAGAAGAACCACGTTCAGGCTCCGCGCCTACAGTGGTCGACGGCCGGCTAACGGTGCAACTCCCCCCGCGCACTTGCGCTCTCACCCCGCCCCTGACAATGACTATCATTACCCCCACCCCCTCCCCCACAGTCCTCCACCCCGCCTTTGTTTAAGGAGTACTTTTATCGACTTCGCTTATCGCTCGCATGTTTTACTTCTACCCCGTTCCTATATAACTGTACTGGCCCGACGAGAATTTATCGAAAGCTACGTATGCTCGCCACCTCGTCTTCTGAAAACCACCATTACCAATATTTCGGTTTTACGAGAGTTTTTGCCTTCAGTGTTCCCAGTGGGTCCCCATATCTAATTGCCAACGTCCGTGCAAATGCTCCCAAGTTCCGCATACTCATGAGTGCTACGCTGCCAGCTCTAG